AAAAAAAAAAAAAAAAAAAAAAAAATTCTATAACATTGAGTCATATTTTAGATTCCACATATAAGTGATATCACATGGTATTTGTCTTTGTCTTTCTGACTTACTTCACTTAGTATGATAATCTCTAGGTCCATCCACGTAGCTTCAAATGCCATTATTTTGTTCTTTTTTATGGCTCAGTAATATTCCATTGTGTGAGTGTGTGTGTTGTGTGTGTGTGTGTATATATATAAAATATATTATTATATATATATCACATCTTCTTTATTCATCTGTCAATGGACATTTAGGTTGTTTCCATGTCTTGGCTATTGTGAATAGTGCTACTATGAACATAGGGGTGCATGTATTTTTTGAATTATAGTTTTGTCCGGATATATGCCCAGAAGTGGAATTGCTGGAGCATATGGAGGAGGGTTGGACTGGGAACTTGGGCTTGGTAGATGAAAATTATTACATATGGAATGGATAACAACAAGGTCCTACTATATATATAGCACAGGGAACTATATTTAAAATCCTGGGATAAACCATCATGGAAAAGAATATGAAAAAGAATATACATATGGATAACTGAGCCGCTTTGCTGTATAGCAGAAATTAACACTGTAAATCAACTAGACTTCAATAAAAAAAAATATGAATTAAAAAAAATTCAGCACCTGGATAAAAAAAAAAAGTTCTGTAATATTGAAAGTGTAGGTCCTCAGCCCCAGGAACCACATTTCAAGCGCTCAACAGCCACATGGGGCCAGTTGCTACCATACTGGGCTACACAGATATTGAACTTTTCCATCATCTCTAAACAACACTGTTCTACAATGGTACCACCACTGAGTAATCACAGACACTCTGAGATTCTCATATAATCTAGAGAAAGGGAACAGATTGTTCTGGTTTGTGGAATCTTAGAAAATTGGCCTGATGATGCTCCTTGTCATCAATATAACATGATTTTCTTGCAGCTCAGCACCCATCCCCCCAAGTACTGTCACAACTGGCTTCTGCTCGACTAGGGGTGTTCTCATAATGGGGGGATGACGGAGTTTACCGATCAATGGTTGTGCCCATGGGGGACAGTCGTTCACAGAAGTCTCTGTGAGCTCCTTGTTTTCAACTTTTCATCCAGGGCACTAACCCACCCATGAGTGCTGAAGAGTTTCCAGATGGATTCAAGCTTCCCAGATACCCTGACCTTGGGAAAGGTCACTTGGACTTTCTTCATGCCTAAGATCACCCGAAACAGCAACTAAAATAAATATATGAATTTCATATATCACATAAAGAAAGGTAAATCACAATTTTCTAAGATGAATGGGAGAACAGGTCATCACAAGCCTTCAGCAGAGAGGAAAACATGTATAGAAATTCTGAGGGGGAAGCACAACTAAATTTGGAAAATAAAGATAAAAAAAAATACTACTCAGGGTGGTTGGACTCATGGTTTCTATGGCATGAAGAGACTATTACCCTCAGCTGAGTATTCCTTTAAAAACGTCCTGCACTGTGAACCATAATTTTCAAGGAGGTGTGTGTATGCACGTTTGTGGGTATATATATTTTAGTAAACACCCACACATATCTATAAAGATACATATACAATCTTAGAAAAAGTGTGGAAATTTTCTCTCATCCACAAGCTGTGAATTCCTAAACAGCAAAATGAGAAGACTACTTTTCCCAGGGAATTATCAGGAGGACTAAATAAAAACCAGGAATGTAGATATATCCTTTAACAATTAATAGACTATTGTTAAAGGATCAATATTACAAAATGTTTGCTTCTGGCTATGACCTCTCAGGGCCCCTTCATGAGATGAGCTAGTGTCAATGCCATGTAAGAAAAATAGGAACTGAGTCACAGACAGATGAGGACGCATCTTATCCAGGCTTTAGGATGAGTCAGTGGCGAAATCAGAACTTGGAGCCTCTGGGTCTCCAGCCCATTACTCATCCTGCTACCCTCCAATAACTCCACATTTCTTCATGCGCCATTTGAGCACATATGGAGAAAACAAACCCTTTCATGACAGTGAAGGAAAATTATAGGAGCTATCTGAAAATACAGCAATTTTTCAAGAGATGAATGTTACGCACCTGGAAATATGAAAGTCAAGCCACAGGGGAAGGATTATTGCGGAACATATATTTCAGTAATAAAGAAGCACTGCAAATGTGATTTAAGAAAGAGTTGGGGACAGAGAGAGGGATTTTGTGACAAGAGAATATCACTGCAGTGCTTTGGGTTAGCTATGCTCTACAAAACGTGAAAAAAAAAGTTCTTCAAAATACACAGGGTCGACCAACCCCATCACAAGTTGAAAGAGGGCAGTTGGTGCTTATGAGTTAAAAATTGTACTTTGTCACTCTTAGTAAAATATAAGTGTATTTATTCCAAATTCAATCATTTGGGGCTCTGGCATCTGCAACATAGTTGCAATGTAGAATATTCCCTGATGGGGCTAAGGCATGAAGCCAACTCTGAATCACCAAAAGCTTTAGTATTGTCACTCTGCCGAGAATATTACTTCTTGGAGTGTTTCCATCACTTAAACTTGGGCAACCAGAGATGGTAAATATGGCAATCAATATGTATAGGAGAGCAAAAGTAGGTTTCCTGCATCCTGGAAAGTCTAGTTTGGATGACTGGATGAAGAGTCTCTTTTCACACGTTGATATAAACCAGGTAACATCCTACCACAGTTGTTTGGGAAATCACTGGGTTTCCCTAAAACACTATTTTCCCCAACTACACAGCCTATCCTTCAATATTTACTCATTAAGCTTCATTCTAGGACAAAATACTAATTTTTATCTTGAGGTCAAGGTGAAACTCAGGCATTTTAAGTTGCAAACACTCAAATGATCCTGATTTTTATACTTTCTCCTTTTTTTCCCTCTTTTGAACCAGAATACAGTCTATCCCGTTACAAGGCATGTTGCTGCAATGCAGATTAGCTAATAGGATTAGCAAATAGGGGAGTGACATCCACATAACACTAGAGCCCCTTCAGACCATGTGCAATTTTTTGCAGGACATTAACGTTGTAGAGCAATCAATGCAAATTTTCTCTCCAATAAAGGGCTACGTGATGGCCTTTCGACAAAGGTGAAACTCCTGCAGAAGGGCCTTCGCTTAGGGTCAAAAGTGGCAAGAAGTTTAGTGGCTCTACAGAGCCATTCCTCTCCCTGCTCTGTGAGGCTGTCTGGGAAACTGCAAGACCAGATGAAGAAGCTGTGAAGCTTCTGCTCCCCTCCCGAGTTTAGAGAGGAAAGCACACTGACTGATGGAGACGATGAACCCAGATCGTATATTTCAGCTGGCAGAGAGTGGTCTCTATCAGAAGGGAATGACTGACTCCGAGGGCCCCTCTGGTGAGAAGGCGGATGTGGAAGCCCTCAGGCACAGGGCTAAGGATGGACTCACAGGGATTCTAAGTGCCAGGTGGAAGTTAATGAGGCCAGGATTTTTATTAGGGCTGTGACTGTTTCATTGGTTCTCTGGCTACAAAGCTGTGTAGATTTTGAATAGTCAGCTCCAGTTTTCTTACAAGATCTAGCATTTTCGGTGCATGGTTTTGTTGCAATAGTCAAAGGGTTTCCAAGGACAGGTGTGTGGAGCTGGTCGAAACACCTGCTCTACCTGAACCGTCTTCCTACCTCACTGGTTCTGCCTTCTGGAAGCAGCTCCATCTAGACTGTCCCCTCAGTCACAGGCAAAGGTCCTGCTTCTAAACAGTCCAGAAACCAATGAGCAGCTCGTCAACACACAGTATTCTTTTTACTGAGGTACAGCTGCTGTACAATATTATATAAGTTACAGGTGTACAATAGAGTGATTCACAACTTCTAAAGGTTATACTCCATTTATAGTTATTGTAAAATATTGGCTCTATTTCCTGTGTTGTACAATATATCCTTGTAGCTTATTTTATACCTTATAGTTTATATCTCTTAATTCCGTACCCTCCTTTCACTTCCCCCTTTCCCCCTCCCCCCGGTAATCACCAGTTTATTTTCTGTATCTGTGAGTCTTGCTTCTTTTTTGTTATATTCACTAGTCTGTTGTATTTTTTAGATTCCACATATAAGTGACATCAACAGTATTTGTCTTTCTCTAATGCACACTATATTTTAGAGAAAAAGTCTCTCTTTACTGAGCACCTGTTCCCTGGGGTATAGTTCCCTGAGAAGTGTCCCTCAGCTGGTATTTCTGTGTAGCTTCACAATGAACGATTAATGCATATACAGGCATTTAGGACAGTGTTTGCCATATAGCACAGGCTCAAAAATTATTGGTGATTATCATTACGATTACTATGTTGCTTCATACCTCCTAATGCCTGCTTCTCTAAATTACCTGTAATTCTTCAGCATTTAGCTCTATATATTTATTTCTGCCTGCCTGTCCACAACCC